TAGGAGAGAAATAAATTGGAAAACAATCGTACTTAAGGCCTTCAATCCATCAAACACTCCACATTTATCTAAATTACTAGCACATTCTTCCAAAATACAAGTCTGGATGATACACACAGCTAGAATGTTAATGCTGACCAGCCTCCACGTCTGTTTTTATCAGGGTTTCTGTCGTAAGCGCAGACTAAAATGATGCACGTTGGAGCCTGGCAGTGTATCTCTACCACTACCCTCCCATCCCCTTTCCCTCCACTCTTCATACATCCACTGTCTTAATCCCTGAGGTTTCACTTGGTATTCTTTCCCCCACTGTGAGCACACATGCATCACTTGTCCTGGGTTATTTAACTCTCAGAAGTTTTTTGACTTGGAACACTCAGGCAGGCTTAATGCTAATTGATTCAGTGTCTTTGCTTTTCTCCCCACTTGTGGGTCCTTACTGTCCAGTCTCTTAGTTATCCTTTAGAGTAAATCCATTTCAATTCCCATACAGCCTCTAAAAAAAAAAACACAGGAAGTAATAGAAGATGACAGGATAAGTGGCGCTATTGTTCACTCCGTCTATGAAGATTGCGTGTGCTAGGAGAGGACATGGGCAAGATTCATTGGGAAGGTGTAGGTCAGGGGAGGCTTTAGCTCTTCCTGCTAAAGCCCTCTGACCTGGCTTTGAACCTGGCTCTCTCCTTCGAGGATGCTGTCATGTAGCCTTTAGGAACTTTGTAGCTCATAGGAATGATCTAGATTGCCTTAGGGTTATAACACGTTTTCAAGCCCCAGAGGTGGTGTTCCTTGGGAAAAGGGACCCTCGAATATCTCATGATGAGGCTTTGACTTGTGGAGGGACTTTGAACACACCGTTCATTCCTGTTAAGCTTGGGATTCTCACCTACGATGTAAGGTAATGGTATTTGCTTCTTCCAGCATTCCTTCTGTATTCCTTTCCTCCCCACCTTCCAGAACAATGGAAAAGAATTACTCTTGTGAAACATTTGAAGGTTATTGAGTAAAAGGGTCTTTTTATGATATTGTTCTGTCCTAAACCAGATTGCTTCCTCCTTCTTCTCCTCCTCCTCATTGTGGGGTTCTTTACTTTTAAAATCTACCTATATTCCAGTCTAGAGAATGGTGAGCTGAAAGAAATGGACAAAACAGGCTCATGGGCTTCTCCACATATCTATTACTCTTTCCAGAGGCATCTGGAAGCCTTGGCAAAAGTGATATTTTTCCCACAGAGCAGGCATTAAGTGGCTAAGATGATATTGAAAGGTGTGACGGGGTGCTGTACAGCAAAGGGAAGCCAACAACTTTGTAATTCAGTCTGTTGATATTGGGTCGGCAACTACGTAATTGCGTGTTTCACACATATATGGCTTCAGTTGAATTTTTAGGTTTGCAGACGTAGTACAAATGTAAAACACATTTTGTTATTTGATAGTTGGCTATTCAGCTGTTAATCAGTAAAAAAAGTTTTTTGATCTGTTTTGTAGTTTTCGTTTGGCATTCGTTGAAAAATGGAAAATCAAAAGGAACATTTTCGTCATATTTTGCTTTTTTATTTCCACAAAGGGAAAAACGCATCACAAGCTCATAAAAAGTTATGTGCTGTTTATGGTGACGAAGCCTTAAAAGAACGGCAGTGTCAAAATTGGTTTGCCAAATTTCGTTCTGGTGATTTTTCACTCAAAGATGAACAAATTTTCATGGTTGTCCAGTTGAAGTTGATGACGCCCTAATCAAAGCAATAATCAATTCGGACTGTCACAGTACAACACGTGAGATTGCAGAGAAGCTTCATGTATCACATACATGCATTGAAAATCACTTAAAACAACTTGGCTATGTTCAAAAACTCGATACATGGGTTCCTCACGAACTGAAAGAATCACAGTTAACGCAACGCATTAGCAGCTGCGATTTGCTAAAGAAACGTAATGAAAATGATCCATTTTTAAAACGACTGATAATTGGCGATGAAAAATGGGTTGTTTACAACAATATCAAGCGGAAAAGATCGTGGAGCAGGCCAGGTGAACCAACTCAAACAACATCAAAAGCTGATATTCATCAAAAGAAGGTTTTGTTATCAGTTTGGTGGGATTACAAAGGAATTGTCTACTTTGAACTCTTACCACCCAACCGAACGATCAATTCTGATGTCTACATTGAACAACTAACGAAATTAAACAATGCAGTTGAAGAAAAGCGGCCCGAATTGACAAATTGAAAAGGTGTTGTATTCCATCATGACAATGCAAGGCCACACACATCTTTGGTCACTCGGCAAAAATTAATGGAGCTTGGTTGGGATGTTTTGCCACATCCACCATATAGTCCTGACCTTGCACCATCTGATTACTTTTTGTTTCGATCTTTACAAAACTCCTTGAATGGTAAAAATTTCAATAATGATGATGATGTCAAATCGTACCTGATTCAGTTTTTTGCTAATAAAAACCAGAAGTTTTTTGAACGTGGGATTATGATGCTGCCTGAAAGATGGCAAAAGGTCATTGATCAAAATGGGCAATACATTACAGAATAAAGTTATTTAGTTCCATGAAAAAATTGTCTTTGATTTTCTTTTAAAAATCCGCAATTACTTACCTGCCGACCCAATATTTTCTTCTTTTGCATGGGCTTTTGGATTTCCTTGTCATTTCTGGAATTCTTTCTTTCTTTTTCAAATCCTCACTTGAAAATATGCTTTTTATTGATTCAAGAGAGAGTACGGGAGAGGGCTATAGAGAAACACCGATCTGTTGCCTCCCACACAGGTCCCGGCCAGGGATCAAACCCACAACCTAGGTATGTGCCCTGACTGGGAATCAGTGTACAGAATGACATTCTAACCAACTGAGTCACACTGGCCAGGGCTGGAATTATTTCTTAGATAACGGGTATTGTGTTGTTAAGTGTGTTTCTCCAAAAGCTTATTCCATCCAACTAATTTTTAGGTTGCATACATTCTTTTGAAAATAGAGCCACATTATTTATAATAAACTTTCTATAATTTAGTCAGGGAAAAGAAAAAAATTAAGACAAATGGTTACTGTGACTAGTTAATGAATTTTCTTTTGCCTTTTTTATAAAATGACTTTTATGTTCTCTGGCAAAAACAGATTATTTGATGACAATGCTGAGAATACTTAACTCTAGGTAAAAAATCGTTTCCATTTGACTGCATATTTCATTTAATGAGAGGGCTTTTATTTATATTTTGTTCTTTTAATATAATTATCTTAAGAAAATAATATGTACAGAGACAAATGAGTAGAGATTAGACACTAGCCTTTATAAATGTTTGCTCAAGTTAGTGCAGTCTAGAGAAAGGAAATCAAGAATTAATATGCCTTAGAATTAAATCTTTGCTTGTATGTAATATCTTTAGTTCAAGGATCTGAAAACACATTATAAGCAATTAAACCTTAGCGTACAAACGGGATTTCTATATTGTTTATTGGTTAAATTAAGATACCAAATTGGGATTTGTGTTGGGTTCCTAGGAAGTCCTTTCTTTTAAGTCTACAAATTTGCATATCCTAGTTTTTCTGGATTTTATTTTCCTATTTCCTCAAACCATTTTCAGATCTTTTTCTACCCATGCCATATTTCTAAAAGACTCATTTTCTTTACTTCCTATTTTTTATTTGTTCTTCAACCTCTGTGACTTTTGCTCCCAAAATGCTGAATGAGGCCAGTGGTGATATCCTAATAGCCCACCCGAAGGCCATTTCAGTCCCTCTCTTGTTTCTTCTATTTACCCCATTTGATGTCACTGGCCACTCATCTTGCCTCCCTCTTTAAACATCTGGGGACATTCAATGGCTCTCCTTTATTTTCTTTTTCTGCATCTGTCTTACTTTCCTACTACGTATATGCTGGTTCTCCCCAAAATCTTATTGTTCTGGCTCATCCTGTGAGCCATCCTGGCTGAGGAATCCACTCTTGTGGCTCTGGCCTGGACGCACTTCTAGCTCCAACTTGCTCCTTAGTGCTCAACTCTGGAACCACATTTTCAACTCCTCTTCTAAATATCTTACACAGACCCAAGCTCAACATATCCCAAACACCACTGATTATCAGGAGAGGGTAGAGTAACAGTTCCCTTACCCTTCTCCCAATACTCTCTCCCCTCTAGCCGGTCTCCAGGACCATCACCCTCCAGCCCCCACATGTCCCTGTTAGAGACTTTGGTTCCTCACTTTTCTGTAACAAGCCCCATTGATTCTACCTCAGAAATGTCGTCACATCTACCTACTTCCCATCCTAACTGGTTGCCTTGGGCCCAGCTTTTCTTCATCCAGCTTGTTCTGGTGCCCTGAGCAGTCTGCTCGTTTTGTTCTCTGCTTTGCTGCTGGAGTTATTCCCCTGAAGACAAATCCAGGCATGGCTCATCCTTGGCTTCCCCTCGTGTAAAGGATGTGGTCCCAAATACATCCTGTGTGACACACACAGTCTAGTCCCAGCCAGTGAGCCCAGCCTGTTCTCTCTGCTTCTCCCTCCTCCTGCCCTGCGCACCTGCTGATCTGGATTTACCACTCCTCTATCCTCTTATTAAATCTTGGCCTTCAGAGCTCTTCCTTTCTCTCTCTGCTTGGGGGACTCTCCTACTCATTCTGCAAGGGACAATGCAAGTGCCATTTATGTGAAATCTCCCTCAGCTCCTGTAACCGGAAGTAGCCACTTCTGGCCTTTACATAACACTTTGTCCAGCCCTTCCATCACTGCACTTGTCTCAGTGCTGTGATCGTGAGTTGAGGTAGAAAGGAACTCACTTTTCCTTAGCAGCCATGTTATTTGTATCCAAATGCTGGGCACATCCTAGCCCCTTGATCAGGGTTGGCTCAATGCATGATTGCAGGAATCTATGGGTGAATGTAATTAGCATGGAGCTGTGATGTAGCTTAGGATGGTCCTGAACCATCCTGACCGTGCTGCAGAGGCACTTCCCTTATCTTTCTGGGGCTGTTAACCTCCACTGTGGTTATGCTCTACATCAGGAAAAGGAGAGACTGTATGTGGAACTAAAGCACATCCTGGCCAGGCAGCCCGGGCCCGAGGCCGCGGAGCAGCTGCAGATCTACCGCCAGACGCTGCGGGAGAAGACCAAGCAGCTGAAAGTGAGTAGCCTCTGCTCTTTCCAGGCCAGACCCTGGGGAACACACCCGAGCAAGTCTGCTGCCTCAACTCAAGGAGCTGGTTTCCCAAATGCCACACTCCACCAAGGCCAGCCCTTTTAGCACCTTCCTCCCAGGAGGAGCAGGGAAGCCTCAGCGCTACCCCTCTGCTCCTAGACTGATAGCCCCCACAGTTCTCCCTCTCCCAAAAGAGGGGAGTGAGCAAGTGGGGGGAGAGCCAGGGAGAAGGTGATGGCAATGGGATGGAAATTGGGGTTCAGGGTTTGTGTGGATGATCTCAAGATGGTTTAGGGCACCTGGATGGTGGGGGAGAACAGAGGAACCGTTAACACCATTGCCCATTGAAGAACATCGCTGTGCCAACGCAGATCTTTGCTCTTCTGTTCCATCTGAAATAAACACACACGAAGTGCCAGCTACTTCTCAGCCCATGGGGCCTTGCTTCATGACCTTCTATCAAACAGATTGCCGTGAACAGGGAAATAAAACCGTGAGGAATCCTCTAAGCACAAATTCTTTTCTGAATGACATAAGAACTCAATTGGAGAGAGAATATTTCACCATTACCCATGCCTTTTTTAAAAGTTTTCTAGAAAATTATGCTTTCCCAGTATATGTTGAGCTTTTTCTTCTAAGTGAGTACTTGGATATTCTGGGCATGTCAGGGGAGTCTTACACACACATGCACAGAAGGTAGCACATGCCAGCCGGATTCTGGCACTTACCTGCGCACTGAGGGTGATAATTATAGCCTTCCTGCCTGCACTACAATAGATGTCATGCTACTAATACAGTACCAATCCTTTCACAAATAGGGCAGAATCGCATCTTTTTAGTTAAAAAAGGCAGATGAAACAGAAGTCTAATTAGAACGTTACTTTTCAACGTATCACTCCAACTATCGATTTCACACGATCATCCTGAGACATAATTTGAGTTTTGCATCCCCTTAAATAGTTGAATATTTCAAATAAAATTGAAGCTTGCTTTCTCAGGGATGGGTATAGAATAGAAAAGCACGTGCCTGTCTTTACACTACTGTCAGAAAGCCACACTGACACTTTAACCCTTTGGTCACTTTAACCCTTTATTTTAAGAAATCTGGATTTTTTTTTCTCTGAATGAAATGTGACCAATGGTGGAAGAAGCTCAGAGGTAGATGCACTGAATCTCTTGGCAAGTTTATCCTCATGATCTGGACTTTTTTTTTTTTTTTTTTTTTTTAAAGGAAATTCCACATTCACAAGGTCTTAGTTTCTAAGACTTTAACTGTTAAGACAGGTTTCAGTCCAACATGAAAATCCTATCCTTTAGCTCATGATAACGTAGTCAGAATCATTTCACCAACCATTAAGAGGAGAGGGTTCAGAAGCAGATGCACACTCAAAAGAGAAAAATTTAAAGTACAGAGTGAGAAGAAAAATAAACACCAGTCTAGTGCATGTCCCTTAGAACAACAGCCTTTCTTTTCTCCCCTTGGCTTTTGTGGGGAGCACTCCCAGCTTTGGCACGTTTTCCACATTCTGTTCCGACGAGGAAACTTCTGCTCTTCTTGCCCAGCCTGACATCAGCAGCATCTATTGAACAGCACAATGGTGCATTAGACTCCCCCAGGCACAGTCATAGCTCCTGATTTGTAGAGGAAAGCGTCCCAGTGCCGGATAAATGTGAACAGTCCCAAAGAATACAATCAAGAGGTGACGGACATTTAGCAGAAAACACATAAATGGAATTCCTGCTTACTGGGGTGGTGGCAGGGTGACTTCAGATCTTTTATTTATTCATTTTTTTTCTTTTTTACCATAATCCTCAGACAAATCACACTCCCTAGTGATATCTCTGCTGAATGTTTTCTAAAAAAGGTTTTAAAGGCAATTTTATACAGTGTGTCCATGAGTTTTTCTGCCTGTCCTCCCAGTATTCCTCGAGACACATCAGATCACTCATGTGTGAGCCTGTTGAGTGTTGCCTGATAGTTCTTTTTAAGCATGCAAAAGAGGTTTCATTTAGATTTGTGCCTGGATTATGAGTCTTCTGCCCCCAGCCAGATTTTTGCCCTGGTAGAAGTGTGCAGGCTAACTGTTCAACTGGTTTTGTACCTCTAGCCCCACTGAGGGAAATGGCAGCAGGTTAAAAAAAATTTTCAGAAAAAGCCCATGTCTAACTGCACGTCTTCTGTTTATGCTGTTTTACTTGCCACGCTAGGTTTTGTCTTCAGAATTGAATATGTATGAATCCCAGAGCGAAGAGTATAAGTATGAGCTGGGAAAACTTAGCAATGAACTGATGAATCTAAAGAAGAAATACCTTGCTCAGAAACGCAAAGAGTACGTTCAGAAGTAAGAATCAGACCAGTATTCTAATTTTGGTGTGCCTGTTACCTGCTGGTGGGACAATATTTGGTGTACAGTCACAGAGTTGCAGATTTCACTGGGGTAAACTAAGTCACAGGGTGAACAATTGACAGGTCACTCACTGGGTATGTATTAGAGTTAGATCAGTATCTCAGCCGATACCAAGGCCTCTCCTTAGGATCCTATCAGGGATCTATTAATATCTGCTCACTGGTGGATCTAAGGTGGACCACAGGAAAGTGTGATTCTCCCTCTCCCCCCCCCCCCATACACACTGTTTTCACAATTTGGAAATAATCATGACATAATTACATTTGCAAATGATGCTCACAGTCAGCCTTGTACAGCTTACTCACATTGAAAACCACAGATAATTTTGCCAGTGGGTCTGGCGTCTGGGCTTGGCAAAGCTGTTCTTTCTCTAGTACAGCCATACCACTGTCCTGACGAGCAGTGTGTGAATCATTTTCACCTATGATTTAGATAAACTTTCTCTGTGTCTAGCGACTGACTTCAGTAACTGCATTGGGCTATCCATGTGAGCTCTCATTCCTCTGGGAGACTAGAATGCAATCCCAGGTAACCTTTTTGGTTTTCAGGATGCCTACATGTCAAGGAATAAGTCTTCTTTCCTTTGTTGGCGTTAGTTGCCTGATCTGAGGGGGAGAGAGTGAGCCCACATCAGTCAGTTTGAACCTTGGCGTGTCTGTGTGGCGTTACCCAACTCCTCTAGCTCACTGGATTGCGGCTCACATTGTGGGTTGAAAGTCAAGTTTGCAATTTCTCCCACAAGGACATTTCAGAGGGTTTGAATGCATCTGCCTAGGGTTCGTTAGTGGCAAACAGCTATTCAAAGAAACTGGATGCAAATTCACTTGCCAGTAAAAATTCTACCCTTTTAAATGAGAATGTTCTCCTATTCTACATTTCAGTGTCAGTTCCTTGTTAGAATAAAATATGCCAAGAATTATAGCTAATTTAGGCGCGTCTGCCATAATGTGTGGGTCTAGCAACTCTCTGATTCAGAATCACTGGTGAGACATATTAAACATCAGTCCTCAGTCCCTATTTCCAGATATGAGGATTCAGCAGGCTCTGGATGGGCCTCGGAAATCTGCAGTTCACTAGTAATCACTCCACAGGCAATTTCCATGCATGCTGAAGTTTGAGAACCACGGCCATTAATGATGTGAATCAGATGAGTGGAGTGGAAAAACTGTAGTTTTCTTGTAGGAAACGAAAAGGCATGCTATAAACTGTCCATGTGGCTAGTTTTCACACGGGCAGGCGTCTAGCTCAGTGACCTTCAAAGTTTTGTATTGCACACCCTTCTCAGTAAAACATTTTTTAACTTGCAGCTTCCCAATATATATGTATGTAGTTTTTAAAATCATTTTTTTTATTTTAGAATTTTTTTTTACCTCCAATACATTTTAATTTACAAATTATATACATATAGTATTGTCACACTGTAATTATTAGTAAAGTGATATTATGCATTATCTTCTTTTCAGTCCCCAGTAAATTATTTTCACCTGTGATTTAGATAAACTTTCTCTGTGTCTAGCGACTGACTTCAGTAACTGCATTGGGGTATCCATGTGAGCTCTCATTCCTCTGGGAGACTAGAATGCAAGTGCCAAAGGTATCTTCGTCAAACTTGGAAGATAATTATCTTCTTTTCAGTCCACAGTGGATCATGTCTCTCACCTTTTGGATTTCTTGTACTATATTTTGGAGACTTGTGGTATGAATTACCCACCAACAAATTGCTAGCTTGGCTAAATTGTTGATCATCTTTCTAAGAGCTGATTACCTCCTTCGGGTTGGCCCTGAGTCTGGCCTACTCTCCTTTGTCCTTATTGATCCCCCTCTTCCAGAGTTTTTTGGACACAAAGAGCATGCTGAGTCCGCAGAGGGCATCCCTCTGTGAACTCAGCCCTTCCCAACTGCCCATCTACTAGCACTTCAGGGCTCCAGTCATATGCCACCTATAGCTATTTAAATGGAAACGAATGACAATGAAGTAAAATTAAACTTTTACTTCCTCAGTTGCCTCAGTCACATGTCCACTGCTCAGTCTCCACATGGGCTGGTGGACACTGCCCAGGTACAGAGGTTGTCCATCAGCACAAAAGTCTTATTGGCGCTGCTCTATCAGTATCTTTTCCTTTCCCTGTCCTCCTCTTGCCCTTACATGCTCATTACTGGTAGCCACTCTGACCTGATTGGAGTGTCACTGGTGGTTCCATTTAGTTGGGGACCTGTAAACTGGAGGTAAACAGAGAGATGAGTTCAGAGGAGAATTGCAAAATATTATTCAAGGGACTAAGGAAAATAAGCCAAGGCAAAAACAAAAGTGCTAGGGTGGTTTAGATGGGAAGGAGAAAGGCTGAAGGGAATTATAAATACACGAAAAAGGGAATATAAAGGAGACATCATTCCCATTAGTCAGCTTAGGCCACATCAGAAGCCTTAGCGTTAGTTCCTTCAAAGAGGAAAAATAGGGTTATTTGAGGGCAGAGGGGGTGGGCAGGGGATGGGGGAGAGAAGAGTCTCCTGCATGTAGCTACAGTCAGGAGGAAGGCAGTTGCCAGAGCGCTGGAAGGAATCCGCTTTGCACGAGTGGGTGTGCTATTTAAAACTTCGTGGCCCAGGGATCCAAGATGGCTGCGCCCAGGTGAACACCTAGCCGCAGCCGCACACAACAATTTCAATAAAATACAACTAAAATATAAAACGGACATTGCCCAGAACTACAGGAAGGTTGTCTGACTGGAAATTCTACAGCGAGAAGCAAGGAGAAAACCAGAAGGAGGCGCGGAGGAGCTGGAAAAGCCCAAGGTACGGAGACGCGGCGCGCGGAGAGGACGGAGCCGGAGAGGAGGGAGGCCGAGTGCCTGGCGGGCGTTCCTGAGCGGAAAGGAGAGAAAAGCTCCGACTGTGCTGGGCCCCCAACTGCTCTGAACCCCGGTTCTGGGCCAGACCCCGGGGACTCAGGCTCAGCCATAGGGAGCCGGGCTGTAAGGCGGAACCCCGGGGAGAGGCGAAAGGAGGTCCCGGAGGCGCGCACATTGCGCGCAGAGAAGGGACGGTCGGCTGTGCCGCGGGATTGCCCTGATGGGAAGGAGACTGGGGCTCCAGACTGCTCTGAACGCCACCTCCAACTCCATTTCCAACTGAACTGAACCCCAATACCGGGCTCATTGTGGGAGAGCATAGACTGTTTGGCAGCAGGCGAAAATCGAGGGCACCTTTCTCTCAGAGGCGCCGGCAGCAGCGAGCACTGAAGGACCCGCATAGGGCGGGGCTGACAGAAGCCAAAGCTGCAGGCTCCACCCTGAAACCCCGTCCCATCTGTAACTGCGAAATGCGACAACAAAATAGATCACAAACGAAAGAAATGGAGGACAAAAAGCGTCTGGATATAGAGTTCAAATCTACGCTTATAAGTTTTTTCAAGAATTTCTTAGAAAAGATGGATAAGGGCTACGAGGATATGAAAAGAGATCAACTAGAATTAATAAGGAGTCAACAAGAAATGATAAGGGATCAACAAGAAATAAAGAATACATTGTCTGAAATAAAAAATATTTTACTGAGTCCTAAAAACAGAAGGGAAGATCGCAAGAACCAAGTCAAAGATTTGGAACATAAAGAGCCAGAAGACACTCCTCCACAGAAGCTAGAAGGCAAGAGAATCCAGAAAATTGAAGATAATGTAAGAAACCTCTGGGACAACTTCAAGCGAACCAACATCAGAATTATGGGGGTCCCAGAAGATGAGAGAGAGCAAGATATGGAAAACATACTGAAAGAAATAGTGACAGAAAACTTCCCCTACCTGGTGAAAGAATTAGACTTACAAGTCCAGGAAGCGCACAGAACTCCAAACAAAAGGAATCCAAAGAGGACCACACCGAGACACATCATTATTAAAATTCCAAGAGCAAAAGACAAAGAGAGAATATTAAAAGAAGCAAGAGCAAAGAAGGTAGTAACCTACAAAGGAGCACCTATACGATTGTCAGCTGACTTCTCAACAGAAACCATGCAGGCCAGAAGGGAATGGCAAGAAATATTCAAGGTGATGAATAGCAAGAACCTACAGCCAAAAATAATCTACCCAGCAAAGCTATCACTCAGAATCGAAGGCCAGATAAAGAGCTTCACTAATAAAAAAAAGCTAAAGGAGTTCATCACCACCAAACCAGAATTATATGAATTGCTGAAGGGGGTTCTTTCAGAAGAGAAAGTAAACAAAGATAAAAATTATGAACAACAAATACATAACTATCAACAAGTGAATCTAAAAACCAAGGAAATTAAAAAAATCTGATGAACAATATTAACTGTTGAATATAATAGAATCAGAGGTATGGAAGGGGAGTGAACTGACGATTCTTGGGGTAAAGGGGAGAGGGGGGCGTGGGAAGAGACTGAACATAAACTGTGCACCTATGGATGAGGACAATGGGGAGAGGGGAAAGGGCAGAGGGTGGGATGGGAACCTGGTGGAGGAGAGCAATGGTGGGTGGGGGGAAAGGAACATTTGTAATAATATGAACAATAAAAACTTATTAAAAAAATAAAAAAAATAAAATAAAACTTCGTGGCCCATTTGCAGAAGTCGGTTTTCAGTTCTCAAAATAAATTTCAATTGCTGTACTGTTGATATTTGGCTCTGTTGACTAATGAGTTTGCAGACCACTTCCCTAAGGTAAGTCATTCCTAGTTGTCAAATCTATTGTAATTGGTTTTGGTCTTAGTAGTTTACTTAATTTTTATTTTAAAAAGGGATTCCGGAGTTAATTTTCATAATACCCCTAATTACACAATAGGTAATTTGTGTAAATTTAAGGTACCTCTGTAGGAAACCTGAATATGTGTGTGTACTAGTATGTGTGGTATATGTATGTGTACTATGTGTGTGTGTAAAGGACCTTTATATAGAAGATACATTGTGGACTTTATGATAGAAATCCCTTTACTGCTAAATGAACTATCTTATTTATCTTTCCCAGATTTCTTGCATCTTAAACTCTTTTTAATAGTAATTGCTGCTTGTGTATAGGATAACTTGCTTTTATAAATGTCCAAGTGTGACGAAGATACCTTTGTGCTGATACTTTCGAATATATTGTAAAAGTTGATAAATGATGAATTAATCATTATCGTTGAGCCCAGAGAAAGATTCTTCTGATCTTTGGAACTAAATGAGTGTTTTATAAAACAGGAAGGTGATTACAAATCAGAGACGACTTAAGTCCATAGTGCTTGAGTTATAATGAGGTCGTTCGTCTACCCATCAGCATGGAAGATTTAATTGTGTCTTTCCCTAATTCTATGTGTTACCAGCAAACTCCTAATTAGATCTTGAACAACTACCTTTTCTAAATCTGGAGCTTTAATTAAGCTGTTTTCACCCTATGAACTTAGAGAACGCCAAACTTAAAAGAGGAAAACAGTGTTCAGGAGGTTAACTCTCACCTCCTTTCTTACAGACAAAAGGACAAATCCATGGATATCACCATCGCACTGGGCAAACCAACTGGCCCTCGTTTTACTGGGGGTGGATTTCCACTCAGCAAGTCACCCCAAGTGAAGTCCTAACCCGAAGCTGCTGGCTGGGTCCAGTTGAACAGCTCATGACATTTGCTCTGGAACCTTTTGGAGAAGTCTCTTTCAAACCCCTTAGGAATTTACAGAAATCAGTGCTTAGATTACAGGCTGGAAAGAAAATGCACAACTATCATAGTCATGTACATATAAGAGTGATGAAATTCTACTCGGTTCACGTGGCTAGTAACAGCGTGGAATTATCTCTCTTCAGTTAGGCTGACCCATGGCATGAAGCAGGTCTTTTGTTACGACCACGTTTGTTGGATGATTTGAAATGCATCACATCTAGACACTCCTTAAGCACAAAGTCGTGGGTCTTTATTTCTCTGTTATGAGACATTGGTGCATTTGAAGGGGTGTTATATTTTAAAAACATTTCTGAAATGCAGTGCATTCTTATTATTAAGAATCTATTTTAATTATTCATACTTACAATTAAATAATGTTAATCATTTTTCAGAATGATTTCTTTGTGGAATTCCTTTTTTAGGCCTGGGTTATGAAAATCTATTGCAAAGAGACATAATAAATATTCATCATAAAAAATAAAAAAGAATATTTGTAGAGATTTTGATCTTTGGCAAAGTAAGTAAGGTTTAGAGGTACTGTAAGAAATGTTTAACCTAAGGATTTGGTTAATTTTCAAGACTGTAAAATAAGGATTTTGAGCTGGTATTCTTCGCAGGGCTCTCCTTTCTAGACCTCACAGTTGGAGAATGGAGTTCCGTAGAACAGGGATCTGGCTTCCTATGCTGCTGTCAGCGTTTTGAGCTGTTGAATCCATTGTATTTTCTTTTTGTTGAAGCCACCGTTAGATGTACATCATCCAACGTTCCCTCATTAAGAGTGCTCATTCAGTAATATGCGAGGACACTCTGGCCATCTCTCTCACAATAACTTGAGTTCTGTAATTTTTAAAAGTTATTGATGAATAAGCTCAGGAATGAACAAACACTGTGCAAGTGGGTCATCCATTTGTATTACAGAATCAAGGTTTTCATCGAGAGGAAGAGATGACTAATGACCCAAGACGCTGGATCAGATTACACAGAGTTAGGACTGTAGAGGCATCTTCTGCATGTTCTGCTATCCCTCTCATTTGACACCAGAAGCAGACCTCAGGCAATGATGACCATGAAAGTGATTTATTATGAAGTAATCTTAGAAATCCCAGTACGAGTAGGGAAGTGGAACTGGGAAAGGAAGGAGAACCCATCTAGGGTGCAATGTCAAGTTAAGTCCAATGCTGGGGACTTTGGTTGGATTTTGCAGGGAACTCTGAAGCAAGGTAATCACTCTCAGAGTTGTCCCCCTCAGAGGTGAGGGAGCTGGGGTGCTTATATGCCTCATGTTGTTAGTCATTGACCAAGGACTGCTCTGAAGGGATCCTTCTGGTTCTTCCAATTTGTGGGTAAAGCATGGTCTGGCAGCCTGAGGGTGGCCTTAGACAGACAAAGGGACCACAGGTGCTGACTGTTGGAAGTGAAAGTGGTTAAGGGCTTGGGGAAATGGGTCTTCCATTTCTCCCAAATGGTTCCAGAGGGAGAATTATAGAGAGAAATCAATCTCCATGTAGCTGACCTCTCTGTGGCGAGGTGTGACCATCAGCTGCGGCGAATGGGTATGATCCCTAGAGAATTTGCTGAGAGCACTTTAAAGAATCACAGTGGGGCCATTTCTATTTTTGAAAATCACTGGTGCTATCTTTCCACAGAGCCAACCATATTCTCTTGAGACAAAAGCTTTTGCAGGTAAGGCAAGGCAGTCATGATAACATGCACAACACTGGAGATTTTCCCATCTGTTCAGTCTGAGCCCTTGATAACTATAAAAAGGTCACTTCTCCAGGGAAATGGGGCCTATGATTCTTGATCTATCCCAGTGTGGCAAAGACTGGAAATGGATGCTGGGTTCAAATCCTGGCTTCAAAACAATGAGTTCTCTTAAGAGTTAAATGTGTTAATGCATGTCTAAGCATAGAACAATGTTGGGCACATAGTTGTTGAATACATATCCGTCATTGTTATGACATAAGAGATACTTAATGTTTTAAAACTAGATAAGAAACATCATTACATAATGCTTTATTATATCAACTATAGAGGTGATTCTAATGCTTAGAGCACATGTGTCAAACACAAGGCCCGCGGGCCAAATCCGTCCTGCCAGGCCTTGCAATGTGGCCCGCACCGCGCTGTCATCACTGCACTCCGCTGCGTTTTCATCACAATGACAGTTTATGACTGTTCAGTAAACCATTCGGCCCACGATTTAGGCTGGATTTTAGATTTTGGCCCCTTCTCTGATTGAGTTCGACACCCCTAGCTTAGAGGGTGAATGACACTTAACATGTCTGGGTGAGGCAGAATTTGTTCATGAAATTTATAGTTGAATATCTCGCAAAAATGCTGTATCGTGTGCCTCATGAAAACTTCTCTATACTTATTTTTATTTTTGTTAATATACAGAGCTTCCAGAGAGAAAGACACGAGTGGCCTTGAGCTACCATCTTCTTGTTTCTCTCCATGTAACGGAGCAGGGTAGTCAGCCTCTGCTGATGACAGATGATCCGTGGGCTGTGGGAGCTGACATGGCTGCCCTATGGGCTCAGTATGCTTATTTCAAATGCAGAAGTAAATTAAGGTTAGAAAAGGTGGAAGATACTGCTGCTGCCTCTCATTTACTGCACATCCTGAGAGCCCAGGGTATTCTAAGCAATAACTATTTAGGTGCAGGTGTTACCACTGTGGCCACAGTACAAAAATGAGCTGTTCAAAACACTGAGATTTGCAAATCATTAAGGATAACTGTGATCTCACAGTGGGATGAGGTGCTTTTAAAATTACAAATTTGAGCTGCACTGTAGAGCAACATTAGGAGATTGTACAGTAGCATCATTTTACCCTGGGGTTTTCAAAGTTTCTTAAAGGACTCACATTGCTAAACCTGCCGTTGACTCTCTCCTGGGCTGCTGGGGAGCTGGTATAGTTTCTCTGTTGATAGAGAGAGACATGATAAAGAGAACTGCCTGGTCATTATTTGCTGATCATAGCGTCTCAGGGACTGCTCTTACAGCGAGGCTTTTATGGTGCTTACCTCCAAAGAAATTGCTCAGAGCAAAGGTTTGTTGCTGTGATAAGCCAGAGAGATGGTGGTAGTCATGCCAGGGGGAGATGGCAGCAACTTTCCTTGTCAAGAGCTTGTAATTTTGCTATAAAAATTTATCCAAGGTTGATAATTATCATTTGATTTCTTGGTTTGCTCAGCAAGATTCTGAAGTTTGACCTAGCCTCGGATACCCTTTGGAAAATACTATGTAATGCATTTTGAGCAGTATGGTATTTCAGAGACTGGACAATTTAAGGAAAGATATTATCTCTCTCTTAAACATAACCAATTATGTGGAGATCTAGTTGGAACAGGAGCTGAGGGAGGGCATTTTAAAATATTAAAATGGTAAAATAGTTTAAAAATACATCTCACTATTTTCTTTATAGTAGATGGGAAATATTTTTATGGCATCATCCATTTTTAACTTCTAATTCAATGCCATTTTAGTATACCATTTCTCATATCTATTATTTAAAAGTTCCATTAGGATTTTGAGACCCATTACATTTTTATAATAGCATAAGATGTGATATCAACAGGGTACCATTTTTCTCTATTATAATTAAAAATGGGTTCCCTCTCCCTTATTTTAAAGTACCTGATTAAAAATATGGATAGACACTTAGAAAAATACAGATAAGCAAAGAGAAGAAGACATCAATAATCTCACCACCTATTGGTAACTATGGTTTTTCTGAGCAAATAGTTGTCTCATCACATAGGTTAGCTGTGCCAATTGCTCATACCTACAATTTGTTCTAATTAGTTGGTGCTTATATTATAACCCCCTATTGTTAAATATTTTGAATATCACCTATGCAATGCTGCTGTTTTATAATTTTGAGGATATCTTTATGGACATTTAAAATGAACATATATATATAATTTTTAAAAATAAAAGATATTATTTACATATGCCCATATAGCCGCAATTATCACACCATTTCCAATGCCCTCATGCCTCTTAGCAGTCAACATTCCCATCCCCCACCCAGCTTAAGCGACGGCAGATCTGTTTTTCATCATTATATATATATTTTTTGTTTTCCTTAGAACTTCAGATAAATGGAATCATACACTATGTACTCTTTTGTGCCTGGCTTTTATTTTCACATAGTTATAATGTTTTTTGAAATTTACCCATGTTGTTGCATATATCAATAATTCTTTCATTTTTATTGCTGGATAACAATCTGTTATATTGACGTAATACAATTTGCTCATTGACTTACCTGTTAATGGGAAATCAGGATGTTTCTAATGTTTAGCTATTAAGAATCAAGTGGTTATGGATGTTCATATAAAGTTATTGTGTGGACAGGTATTATCTTTTCTCTTTGGTAAATACTGAGCTATGGATGGCTGTATCGAAGGGTAAGTGTACATTTAACTTGATAAGAAACTGCCAAAGTGTTTTTCTAACTGATTGGACCATTTTGTGTTTGAGCTCCACTTGTGTTTGTAATTACTTGTGTTTGAGGTCCAACAATGTGTTCGAGCTCCACTTACTCCAACCTTCGTTACTATTAGGTATTGTCAGTATTTTAAAAGCCGTTTTATTTGGACCTAAAGTGACATTTCATTGTGATTTTAATTTATATTTCCTGATAATTAACAATGTTAAGCTTTTTTTTCATACTCTTTGGACATTTACATGTCTTGTGGAGTGTCTAAATCTTTTGTCCATTTTTAATTTTTTCATTAGATTGTAAAAGTTCTTTGTATATGCTGGATATAAATATTTATTATAAATATTTTCACTCTGTGGCTGACTTTTTATTTTCTTAGCAGTATATTTTGAAGAACTGGGCATTTTAAACTTTAATAAGGTTCCACTTATCATTATTTTTCTTGCGTAGTTTGTACTTTTCTTGTCTTAAGTAATTTTTGCCTACTCCAAGACAGTAGTAATTTTTAATGTGTTTTTCTCTAGAAGTTTTAATATAGTTTCAGTTTTTATGTTTAGATTTATGATCCATTTAGAGTTAATTTTTATGTGAGGTATGAGATTAGTGTACAGGTTCAATTTTGTTCCATATGGATAACCAGTAGTTCAGCCTCATTTGCTGAAAAGAGTCATTTTCCTATTGAATTACCTTAGCACATTTGTAGAAAATCAGTTGAATGTATTTGAGTTGTTTCTATTCTGTTCTGTAGTTTTATATCTATCTATCATGATAATAATAACTATATAGTAAGTATTGAAATTGTATGGCATAAAAGCTTCAACTTTTTTCTCCTCCTTAGAATTATTTTTATTATTCTAGGTCCTCTGTATATCTGTATACAGCTTAAAATCAGCTTGTCATTATCTACAGAAAAGCATTCTGGGAGTTTGGTTAGAATCACATTGAATCTATAGATCC